GCCCCCCCCCCCCCCCCCAAACCTTCCCCGCACACACTCATTTACATTTATTTAAATCAATCTTTGAATCGCAGGATGATTTTTTTTAAAGTCAGAATTTTTAAAACGTTCTCATTCGTCTCCTTTTCCCCCCCAAAAAAGAACCCTGAGCTGCCTTCCACTTAAAGTGGCTGACTTTTCTGGAAAGCGGGTGGGACCCATCGAGTCGGTACTCAAATTTAAAACGTCAGTTTTCCTTCTGTTGGGAGTCTCTTTTCTTTCTGTTTTTTTTTTAAAAGAAAATGCAGCATTTCTTGGCGTTCTTTCTACCAGCACCTACTGACTATTGCAATTCTTTTTAAATGTGTAAATTTGGGGAGAAATATTTATCCTTTTTTAATACGCGGACAGCCAAATCAAAAATCTGCAGGAATCTTAAATGTGTACATCTGTCCCTCTCGGTTTAAAATGCATTTGTAAAATTAGAACTGGCTACATTGGAGTTTTTATAATTGTCCTGTGCACCTTATTTTTATTGCACCCAGGTTTCTTTTTTTTTTAAAAAGAAGCCGAACACTTCAAGAGTACGAATTGTATTTAAATTCCTCTTTCTTATAATCCTCCCACTTGTGTGGGCAAAGGAGAAACGTCTCTCTCTCTCTCTCTCTCTCTCTCTCCCAGCAAACTGAAGGTTTAACCCCTTAATTGCCGCAATTTTCCAGAGCACACTCCGGGATCTTCCTGTGTCTCAGATGTTGTGGTTTCTGTTCAATTCGAGCAATCAATCTGACTTCCCACCGCCCCCCACCCCTCCTCCGGATCGAAACCCAGGTTCGAGCTCGGTTCAATCCGGATCAGTGTTTCAATTTGTTTTTAAAATTCTGTAAATTTACCAGTTCTCTCTTTTCTCTTCACCCCCCCCCCCCCCCCCCTTTTTCCTTAATGTATGAGTTTATTCTGGTTCGGGGGGGGGGGGTGGGGGATCCTCTCCGTTTTTGAATCTCCAATTTGTTTTTTGCTCTTGTCATCAGCAGTAAAATATTAAACACTCGATCATTCCACATGGGCTTGCTGTTCTAATGGGGAAGCTGTTGGAGTGTTTTATTTAATTTTTTTTTGTTTGTGAGTCGTCGGGCTGAGCGAAATATTTAAAACGAAGCAATTTCTCTTTTTTTTTTGTTGTTTTATTTTTATTCCGCAATGTTTTTGGCAAAACCTTTTGTTGTAAAAAGGTGTCCTCTAAGCTCGGTTTTTTTAAATGAACCGTTCCTAAGCGTGTAACTAAGCAGCATTAATTTGAGATGCTCCATCTGACACTTTTTTTTGTCTTTGTACATTGTATTTTTGTGCTTTTTAATAAACTGTATCAGATTCAACTTCATGGGATAGTTGGTCTTCGGTGCAGAAAGCTTCAAATTAACTCTCTCTCTCTCTCTCTCCTTTTTCACCCTCCATCCCCCAAGTATTTCAATCAATTCTGTTTGACATTTTTAAGCTACGGTTAAAAGTTGTCAGTCACAAAAGTGTGCTAGCACACGTATGGGCTATTTTGCCCGTTCAGTTGGTGTCGACTCTCTGGTTAACCAAATTTGCTAAGTATCCATTTCCCACTGCCTTCCCCAAAGACCCTGCATGTCCCCCTGTCCAGTTCCTTCAAATGCCTTTCCAATCACTTTCCTAGATGTTGTTGTGATTGTACAGGATGTTAGTGATGATGCTGTGTCTGGAGTACTATGTGCAGTTCTAGTTGCTCTGCTATAGCAAGGATCTTATTAAACTGCAAAGGATGTAGCAAAGGTTCGCCAGTATGTTGCTAGGAATGGAGCGTTTGAGTTACAAGGAGAGGCTGGGACTTTTTTCACTGGAATGTAGGAGGTCGAGGGGTGACCTTATTAGAGGTTTATAATATCATTAGGGGCATAGACAGGGCAAATAGGCAAAGCCTTTTCCCCAGGATAGGAGAGTGCAAAACTAGAGGGTATAATGTTAATGTGAGAGGAGAAAGATTTAAAAAGGGACCCACAGGGCAACTCTTTCCACACAAAGGGTGGTTCGTGTGTGGAATGAACTGCCAGAGGAAGTGGTAGAAGCTGGAACAGTTACAACATTTAAAAGACATTTGCACAGGTACACAAATAGGAAGGCTTTAGAGGGATACGAGCCAAATGCAGGCAAGTGGGACTAGATTTGTTTGGGAAACTTGGTTGGCATGGACAAATTGGACTGCAAGAATAGTTTAGCTCAAACACACCCTATAAACCCCCTCTAATCAGTACCCCCCCCCCCCCCACCCCACCCCACCCCACCCCCAGTCTGGTGGCATAATCAATGCATGGAGTTAGTGTTAAGTCACGCCCCAGTTGTGTAAACTGGAGTTCCTTGTTTAGATTTGTGGGGGGATTTTGGAAGTGTTTAGTGTAATGTATGGTAATAAGGATAACTTTTTTGAAATAAACTATTAATCTGGATCCTTCTGTATATTTAATGCTATTCCTCACTGTTAGGTTGAGGGATGTGGGGACGCTGCAGGGAAATGGTGTCGAGGCAGGATATCGCCTGTGATCGAGCTGTTTGGTGGAGTGGGATCAAGAGGCCAAATACCCCCCTTTTCCAGATGTTGCCTCTTCCTCTGGGGCAAAGTGGGAACACTGCTTAAGATGGAACAGAATGTATACGCACCTTTTTGCTGGATGTGAGAAATCTCGAGCTTTTTTTCCTAAATGTTGGCAGTTTGTGACAGTTGTTTTGTTGGACAGGACTGATGAAAGAGACACTGTCACGTCATTAACAGAACGGTAAAGTGGAAATGGAGGGCAGAATGGTTTGCTCCAGTTCCCATTAGGACATCTCGCAATAACGTCGTGTAAAATTCAGTGTTGTAGCAGGCCGTTCAGCCCATCCAAGCCTCTGAGGAACATCCCACCCCCTACACCATCCCTGTACATCCCACTGTAGACACATCTTTGGAGTGTGGGAGGAAATCTGAGCACCCGGAGGAAACCCACGCAGACACTGGGAGAATGTGCAAACTCCATCCATGAGGGTGGATTCAAACCCAGGTCCCTGGCGCTGTAAGGCAGCAGTGCTAACCAGTGAGCCTCCCTGTAAGTTGGAGCATCTCAGTGAAGGGATTCACAGATTGGGCAACAGTGCCTAAAACCAGACATCTCCCAATTATTCCCACGTGACTGTCAGAATTTGACCTTTGCTAGAGAGGATTAGAAAAAGTATCCAGACCATCTAATTGATAGTTTGCGTCTGTCACCAAAGCTGTCTTCATTCACTCTGATTCTGAGCTGGGGAAGGAACAAATGTTCTGATCTAATCTGATCCTAGATTTTCCATTCTTTTCCCTGACCCGGCTGCCTCATAATCTACAGATTCCAGTACTACTGCCCAGGGGCTATGGGTCTCTGCCAGCCTTGGAAGACAAGGCACTAGTAACAGAAGCTTCCAATTCAGTCCATATTCCAGAGCAGAATACTTCAACATGAGGGGGGCTGTCCAATTGGACTACAAGCCATCCCAAAACCAGTTTCTCTTCCCTTGCTGCTAATGAGCAGGGGAGGCTGTGAGCTGTTAGGAAATCCTGACCTGGTTTTAGGTTGCATTTGCAGCTCTTGGTCTAGATGATTGGTAGTGGTGGACTTAGTGAGTAATAACTTGCTGACTGGGATTACCCTGTGGTAACAGATAGAGACCTGGGGAGGTCCCCAACTCGAAACACGTGTTTCCGGACCACACTTGTGCATTCACACTGAAACGTGGTAAATCCTGTTAAAGGTCAGCCCTCTGAGCCAGTAGCTTTCGAGGTTGAGTGTGGTTGGGGTTTAGATTCGGTGAAACTCCCCAGTTTGTCCCTGCAAGCATTGCAACTTTGAGTTTCCATTGGCCAATTTATTCACAAACCTGTGTGTGTGTGTGTCTCTGTGGTTGGGGAA